ACCTATCTAATCCTAACTCTTGACGAAAACATTAAAAAAAAAATCATAACCCTTCAATGTTTAGTCATAATATGACTAAACATATATTATATGACTTTCGTTTATCCTATCTTCAAAAACTAGATTAAGATTACAAAAAAAAGCTTTCCTAGTCTAGAAATGAAATTAAGACATGCCAACAATATGATTTCTTTTTTAAATTTAGCCATACGAAAGTTCATTAGCGCACGGTTATTTTAAAATTTGTCTTAGAAACCTAAAATATTTTTTTAAATTTGTAGAGTTTCGTTAGTGGGTCGTAGAAAAAATATACTGTACAACTCTACAACTCGAGTGGATTTTCCATATACATTCTTGTTGCACAAACAACTATTGTACCTACCTACATTGTTTGTTCTGTAACTTACTGGATGGATCTATTGGGAGAATATTTTTGTTCTGACTGTTCCTATAGTAAGTAGAACTTTTTTTTGTGTATAGAAATGAAAACCTATAACGGAATGCAATCTTGATAATTTTTGTTCAATATACACCTTATTTTCAACGTTTGTGATTTGTTCATATTTTTTACTTTTGTAACTTTTGTTGATGTCAATTTGGACAGAAATTTTTAATCGGCTTTTTCCAAAAAGTGTCTAAGGAGAAGTAAAGCAAACGAACGTATACGATACGCCACACGATGACATCAGTAAAACTTTTTCTGATGTTCCAAGATAAGTAATTTTCAATCTACACCTTATACTGAATGTATTTTTCAGATTCTTTTTGAGATAAGTTGGGTCAGCAATTTTTAAGCGTTTTCAGATGAAGTGTTTTAGAAAAAGTAACGCAAACGAACATTTTTTCAGATTCTTCTGAGCGTTACTATTGAAGATAAGTTATGAAAACAATGTTTAAGCGTTTTTCAAAAAAAGTGTCGAAGAAAAAGTAACGCAAACAGATATTTTTGAAATAGATACTTTCCAAAGAAAATTAAAAGCTATTTACCTGACGAGTGCGTGAGCGTTCGGTTAAATTTAAATGGCCGAGGTTAAGTGTATTAGTTAAGTTTTTTTTTCATATTACGTATTTTTTGCGAAGCAACACACGATGGCTGGCACGCCGCACATGTTTTTTTTATAATTTTATGTAAAAGAAATTTGCGGAGCACCCCGTCATGGATCCAGACGCTGTTTCGTTCAGGAACAGTCGTTGATTTTCGATGTCTTGTCCTTTCGATCTAATGAATTTGGGATCTATTGTCTTTTCGATTACTTGTAATTCAATCAAATGTATTTTCAAGGGCGGCAATACCACAAAAGATAATAATTTTTTGAGAACATTTTGTTGTTGGATGATATTATGCGTCTAAATTTCACGAAACAAAATCCTCTTTAAAATACCACGAGACTTTGGTCGAGTGGTATTTAGGAAGGATTTTGTAGAGTCAAATTTGCATAATTTGTAAGAAAACAACAAAATGTTCTCAAAAAAGTCTTATCTTGTGTGATATTTTGACATGGGCGCCGCCAGAACTTTTTCAGGGGAGGGGCCAAGAATGCAAAATTGTGAATTCTTTAAAACAAATTACAGAAATGTAGGGATTTATAGACGCTATCTGCTATCGTGTAAGACGATACAATACGGAATATAATGATATTAGGCGTGGTTGTCAAATGCTGCCGAATTTACCGTTTCTAGGGATTAGATACTCTAAAAAATATACCGAAGGTCCAGAGCGAAAACCCGATAAGTAATAAAATTTTGTTATGAAGATATTGTCGTTTTAGTATTTTTTTGTTCTTTTAATTACAAATAAATGCTTTTGATAGTTTGTCTGCATCAGTTTATAGTACATATTACATATAACGATTAAACGGATTGCTTTATTTTTTTTTCTAAATTGACGTTTGCTATAGATGTACTGAAATAAAAACAATATGATATCAAATTATCAAATTTTCGCTCTATTAATTAATAAAGAGTTTCGAAAAAATTGATCTTTACTCATATATCGATTTTTCGGAATAAATACTTAGATACGAAATTTCATAAAACGGAGTATATTAACTGAAAGAGCACTAAAAACTCTTTGATGATGCCTGTATAAAAGTTATTTTTCTATTTTTGCCGACTTATCAAGTATTTGGCTGTGAACACTCTGTACAATCTATTATTATCAGTTAAGCTTGTGCCCCAATAATTGTTTGACAGAAGTTGTTATTGTATTTTTTTTTTCGAACTTGGAAATTTCCGGCGCCCATTTAAACAGTACTTTTATAATTTATATTATAATTTATGCAGTGTTTTCAGATACAATTTGTTTTGATTGGCGTGTGTTGGAATAAAATATGATTATCGTTAGTTGATGTATTATAGTGTTAAATAATACCCCACATGATGGCACCAGAATTTTTTCTAACTTCCAATACTTTTTAATTAATTCCTCCTGTATTTGAGTCATTACTTACTACAACTACCTACCGTTTCAAATTTAAGTACCGTTATTAAATATACTTACTTTGAGTAAACCACCTGTAACAGACACCGAAGTGATTCCAAAAGTGTTCCTTCTTGCCAAATTGTGGACGAAACACTCTAACTTTAATACTATAATGACCATAGATAAACTAATAAAGAAGATGGTCGGATTCTGTGTTAATCTTTGGAAACGTAGTGCTGCGAATTAGTATGGAACGGATTTTTTTTGAACTACACTGGCTGATTGATTTGTCAGTAAGAGGCATAAAAAAAGAAGAGTGTTAACGTAACCGCGGTTCATTTAAATATCTTTATTTATTTATTTATATTTTTTGGGGTTCATTACTTTAAAAAGAAAAACTAATATTTATATTAAAATATTGTATTTAACATATATATTAGTTTTTTTTAGTTATAAAACCCCAAAAAATGTATACAAAAATGTAGACAAAAAATATTTACACTGAAATAAAATATAAGACAAATATATTTAAATTATTTATTATACAGTAATACATACATAATGTGTTAATAAAGAACAATTGTAAGTGAAATGAATACTAGTTTCCCCACATTCTTGTAAAAATGGACCATACTTTGATGGGCGTCAGGTGTTTCCTATAAAAACAAAACAAAAAGTGTACATATATGTTATTGAACAATTTCTCTTATCAAAATGTTGACCATTTTTATAAAACTAAGTTATTTTTAATTATTTGACGAAGATTGAGAACGACGCAGTCAACATATCCAACAATTTTGTCATTAACTGTATCAAAAGTGAGTTTTTCGGTTAGAGCTATTTCGTCGAACATTAAAATACAATTCCTATCAATTTCTGGCATTTTTCTAACAATTTCTTTAAATCTGGAAAACACTGAATCATTTATCCCCGTTTCAAAATGTAAATCACTTAAAATTTGTTGGATAGTAGATTTACTAGGCAACGAAATGCATTTTCTTAAAAAATTATATGCTCTTGGACCATTTTTATATAATGCTAAAGAAAAAATTTTATTCTGAGTAGTCCAAGAGGGTTTCTTTCTCTTACAATTTTCTAAACTACTTTTAAAGAATTTAATTCCAATCGGATCTAATTTATTATTAAAATCTGAAAATAACTGAGTTTTGGATAATTCAAAGGCTTTCTTGATTTTATTTTTGGAAACACGTAGAGCTTTCTTTAGCTTACAAATTCTAACGTTTTGTTCTCTATTAATAAAATACAGCTTTTTCTCTTTGGGACTTAAATTTTTGACTTTACTTTCATTTATTTGTTGCAAAACAGTTTTTCTTCGTATGGAGGGTTGTTCAAATTGTACATCACTAATATTTAGTTTACGTTTGCAACTAATTTCTTGATTTTCGTTGCTGATTAGCAAATCTATCTTATGCTGCTGTGTTTGTGCTTCAGCCTCAATATATTCTGAAATCTGGCTCTCGGGTTGTATATTTGAACTGGATGCATAATTATCTAAAGAAATTGGTAAAGAATGTACAACTAGTCGTTTACGTTTTGAGGAAACCTTACTAAAAGACTGGCAAAAAATGATCTTCACAAAGATAGCGAGTATTATTATCATCTAAAGTTAAATTTAAATTCTTAAACCAGTTCTGGCGAACTTTAACATCAGAAGGAAAATGAAAAAATGCTTTATTTGAATAACCAACTTGCTGAATATTAGAATAATACTTATTTAAACAATTAGGAGCTGAACAAGAATACTTAACTATACCCGGGCCAGACATTTTTGTTTCAAATATTAGAAAAGGATTGTTGAAATATGAAATTAGATACCTATATATCGTTAAGGCTAAGAAAACAATGATAAACAAAGTCCTTAAATACTTAATATTAAATTAAAGTTAATACTTACTAATTACATCAAATCAGCACCGTTTGTTTCTTAACCTAAAAATAACTTACCTACCTATGTAACTTACATCATAAAATAAAAATAAGTTTTATTTTATCATATCTCGCCTTCCGCCATCACGTTTTTCATTTTTTACAAGGTTGTCAATCCCGTCTTTTAAAAATCTCAGCAATAGTATGGACATTGTATGGATGGTATGGTGCGCATGTAGATTGATAAAAAATTAAAATAAAATGAATTTGAAATAACTATCATCTCATGAAAGTGTACGGAAACCGGCAACATCGCTTTCATACTATTGCGATGGTGGCGCTAACTAATAGTATGCTGGGAACTACGCCGTGTTGACAGTGGCGGGCATTTAATAAATTCATCTTGTTTTATATTAATTTATCTATGATAATGACCGTTGGTCGGTTCACGTGTGTTAGTCAGCAACGTTGCCAGATTTCAGAATTAATTCGTCAACAAATACCATACGTCAACCAGCACCGGTCTCCCCTACTCTTATTGAAAATGAAATATGTTTTAAACATATTTTGTAAAATCACTTGAAAGCGATACTGCCTTATCTTAATAATTACACTTTTTTTATTGGTTGTAAGTGACACTGTCACGTGCAATACGTGTTCGATAAAGGTACCAAAAATAAAACGCAAGAAATATTCAATCAGCAGTTTTTATTTTCTTGTTCAGTAAGAAGATCCATAATAGCTGACACAACCATGAAATACACATCAACTTCATTTTTATGGTTTTAGTATTGACTTTTTTTTAAATAACAATAAACATGTACATTTGTAGAGACAAATTCGATATTCTATTAAATCATTTCGCAATATATTTGAAAAAAAAAAATAATGGAAGGATAGGTATTTTAATAAGGTATTTTTGAACCACTACTTAAAATTTTTATTTGGCTTACTTTTTTTTTTAATTCTGAAGTTATAGAGAACTTAAGATTATCTATGTTTAGTGAAATTATTTAATAAATATCAAATTTTTGTTCTTCACAGGGAATTTCCAGCGGGGATAAAGGATTTAATATCGAAATATGTAGTCAAATATCACATTAACATGAAACAACAGCCTCATTGATTGATGAAATTTCAAAATTTTTGTTTGAAAAATTCAGCAGTGCGAGACCAGGGAACAATTAGTGAAAAACAGTTAATCTTCCGCCACGCCACATCAATTTTTGAAAGATTTTGCACCAAATAATAGTACCAGATGAATAATAAAAATATTAATTTATTTTTTCTAAAATAAAAAGAATATTTAAGGCTGTCTGGATACAAATATTTTCAAAAACTTTACTTATATTTGAATACAATTAAAAAACAATTTGAAATAATAATAATTGTTGTTCTGAAATAATTTTGAAGTGACCCGGTAAATTCGAGCATCTGATATTAAATTGCTTTCTATAAAATATCAAATAGAAAATAGCAAAAGGTTAACAATTGACCTACACCCACTAGGTACAATCTGAAATGACGCGACAATTTTTATTTAGTTTCTTGCGAAAGTTGACCCAATATTGATTTTGAGAGATCTTAAATTTCTATAACACCGGTTGAGAGAGTTAATCTAGATTAAAAATAACATCCTCATGACTCGGAAAATAATTTTATTTAGAAGAATGTTATTGTTAAATAATTTTTTAATTTATTCTTCTGGTACTTGACTTTTAGGAACTATTTAAAATTTCATTTGATGATATATTATAATCTGCTCACAGCTGTACATTTCTGCCATAATTTATAACTCTCTGGATATAAAAATAGACTTAACGTTACAAAGGTATGTGCAAAATCAGGGAAGAAACGGTACAATACCTATATACTCATGAGCTTTTTTAACAACAGTTATTTCAAACAACAGCCGGATTTTAACAATTTTTTTTATAATTATATTTTTAAATATTTACAAACTTAATAATGTTATTTTTAAATTATTTTTCTATGTACAGTAATTTACAATTCTTTACAAATTTACAAAATACTTGAACTGTTAAATGTATATGAATATTTTCTAGAAATAAAAATTTATGTAAAATTACACATCACCTAATAATATGTAAAAGTACTTTTTTGTAATTTTACATAATATTCCATAAATGCGATATGTATTACGTAATTTCCATAAATTTTATTTTAGAGTAGTTTTTAGCTTTTTTTGAGTGGGTAGCACCACAGTATACACGATTTTTCAAGATGTTTGTCTACTCATAGTTTTGACTATGGTTTTTACCATTTTACATAAAGCAAATATTTTTAATAGAGGTCCAGCTATAAAATGATTGTCATATTTTTTAAAATTTACAAAAGTGCTTCATAAAATTATATAAAAAAATAAAAGTTTTCTGCAATGTAAAAATGATAACCGATTTAAGTAAGTTGATAGTAAAGGCTACTTTTTCAAATTTACGTTATGTAAAATGGTATTGTTAACTACATTAGTCATATAAGGTGTACTTGCACAGCATATTTGTTGAAATCTTACTATATTAAAGACACTTCTTAAGGCAAACTTGATATTTTCCATATATATCCAGGCTCGCATACAAGAGAAATTCAAAAAATTCTGTCGGACATATGTTTAATTAAATCTAACAGAAAGGTACAATTATTTCAATAAACGATTTTAATTTTTAAATTTCTTTCAAAAATATTTTGTTTTAATAATTATTTTATTCAAGAATTTTTTAAATTTCATGTAATGTGCGCGTTTTAAACAATATCTATACACTGGGAAAAGTGTTATCTTCAATTCAAAGACTATTTAAAAAACAAATATTTGAGGAAAGCAAACTGAATTCTGACCAAAGGGATGGTACATTAATATCAAAAATGAATTTATTTTATATACTCTGGTAAATATCTTTGAATCAAAAATATTTCTTTAGTGCAACTGCATTAGTTATTGACTTTAGTGTGATTTCTTAGGAGCTAACAAAAATAAATACTTTTTAACTACTTAAAACGGATTACCAATAAAAAAATAGTACGGAATGTAACGAATTTTGACATTTTGTTATTTGGCAAATATTTTTAAAAACGATTTTAAACCTACAATATTAATTAAAGCTTTTGTTACTCTTTCTAAAATTGTTAAAAAATCTATATACCGTGTGTTCAGAACACTACTAAAAATAAAATATACATTATCAACAACCATTTTTCGAAACATACAAAAATAAGAATTCAATTGTTAACAACCCATCGCTTAGAAGCGATTTTTTTTTCAGTCTGCGGTAGTACAGGACAATACTCAATACTTTGTATATTATTGATTGAAAAAGACTTTATGAAAGCAGAAAAAAACCAATTCATAAAACTGAATTAGAATAATTTTTTTCATCACATCAAATTTTAATTTAATTTGACAGTACAAAGGGTGTTAAGGGATAATGAAATAAAAAATAGTGTATTCGTTTTTAATTTATATATGATTTTTTTTAGTATAGTCTCATAATGAAATTTTATAAAAATAATTAGGTGTCAACAACTTTTAGAGAAGAACATAAAATATATTGCAATTTAATACCGGAAAATGTAGTAAATTGAAAAATTCTACTTTATTTCAGATTCTGTGCTGTGTCAAATTAAAAATTAAAATTCTTAAAAAAAAAGAAATATTATCAATATTAGATACATAAAAAAATATGATGTAATATAGAGAAAACATAAAAAATATGGAGTTTTTTTCTGCTACCAAAGTCTTAAAAGTTTCGTTAAATATCCTGTACTTACCTTACAAGAAAAATGGCACAGACTTACGACGTACTAGGGCTCTATATAATAGGCCTATTGGAGATCAAAAAATCAGGTATCTTCAGTGCATCTTCGAATTTTTACGAAACTAGATCCTGGAGTTGATCAGAATCATCAAGTTTTTATGAAAATCGATCAAATTTACGCGGCATAAATATTTTTTAAAGAAACTAAATTTTTAATACTGTTAAATTTTGATCTCTATGATTGACACTTGAGTCTTTAAGGGGTAAAAAAGAGAACTTATCATTATTTTTTTCAATATAAAGTGTCATACTTTTCAAAAATCCACACACCAACAACGATTAGATCATAGAAATTGTTAATTTTCATCATAAATAGATTTTTATTTCTGTGGCAAGCCCAATTCAATTAAATATATAAATTGTAGAAACAAAATCCACTAATATTTAAATCTAGTGTATACCATTTTATTGTTTCTGTAAGTAAATAAATAGCGAAATATTACATTTATCAAATTTGAGGAAGGAATTGTAAAAAAGTTTCCCAGTTATGATTCGACCAGTACTTTTTGAAAAGTCTGACACTCTAGATGTACCAATATTCTTTCAAATTTATCGAATTGTAGTATTTTTTTTAAACCCCTTTTCTGTAATCGTTGCTCGCATAACTCAATTGTCTATCGTAGTTTTCATTTTATTTGTAATGACATAAAATAAATGACCTCAAAGTTTTAGTGTTGACACTCTTCGGTCAGTTTCAATACAAAATTTATGCAACCATTATAAATATTAATGAGTATTTTTACAAGTGATCCAATTTTCATTATTTCATAAACTGATTCATACATTTTAAAAATGAACTTATAAAATCAGCATACTTGCAAGTGACCAATCGGTTTTCTATATTCTCCAAACAGCTTGCAGTCGCACTTGTATGATTCCATATCTGAGTAGAGAGATCTGATCCAGACCTCCGAAACTTAATCCAAGGACCTCTAATCGATTTGAACCAAAATGATCCTGGTTTGATCGCAATCTAGATCACAGTAGTCTTGGATGAGTAGAATGCACTCGCCGGGCTCGAACCCGGTCGCGGCCTCTCAAAGAGTGGTTGTGACGACCGGTGACATGCTCATGGCCTCTTCGCTGGTTACCGTGTGGCTTTGGTGCATGTGCATTTGCGTCACCTGTTGATGCGGGTGGTGGTGATGGTGATGCTGCTGCTGTTGCTGCTGCGAGGAAGATTGCGCCTGGACAGAGGACGACGATGACTGCGACGAAGAGTTGCTGTTGAGCTTGTTTTCTTTCTTCATTCTTTGTTTCAAATGGACCTGTAACAAGGAGACACTTGTAAAGTAAAGTATATTTTATTTTTATTCCGCAAATTACAAAAACTGAATCGTTTTTATGATTACCGGGCATTTCAAAATTGTAAATTGCTTTCATCCATATGCCCAGGCATTTTTGGAGCAGTATAGTATTTTGTACTGGGGCAGGTCCGCAGCAATCGCTTTTACTAAGTTTATAACCTGTTTTTTGCTTTTTGATTACCCCTCTGATCTCTGCACTCAAGCTCCACAAAATATAATTAATTAAACTATCAGGACAAACACTGCTTCTCTATGTATATTTAGTTGGATTTAGTTTGCTTCAAGTGTAGCAAGTTGATCTTTAATTTTATAATGGGGTCAACTGGGGTAATAGTAAACAAGAGGTTATTGTAAACACGCCAATAACTTTTGAATTTGCCGGGTTATAGTTTCATTCCACACAGTGCAAGATACCACGACGCATCTTCTATTCAGTCCCATGTCAACCGTGTAGCCTGTTGCATCGTTTTATTTTTTCGTTCATTTATAATATAGAAACGAAATATATCATTGTTTTGATTGTGAAGTATAAATAAAAATTCAGTGTGATAACCGTTTTTCAACTGGTAAGTTGATTTTCATGGCATATAGTTATTGTTAAGGGAATATCCAACGTTTTTATGCCGGCCCAAATCTTAGGTTATAATGCACTCTATTTTAATGGAGGTGTTTACATTTGCCCCAGAATTTTCTGAGGAAGGAGCAAAGGTAAACAAACCCTTGGGGCAAATGTGAACATGTATATATATATTTTCAGGTACAAATGGTCCCAAATTATATAAGGAAAAAGCCTATTGCTCAGAGGTACTCTGAAGCAGATCTAATAAATGCAGTACATGATGTGGCTACCTATAATGTACCCATTGCGGTAATTTATCATCGTATCAAGGGGAGGAAAAATCCATTAAAGGTAACAACTGGTGGTCGTCATTCTGTGTTGCCTGAAAATGTTGAGATGGCGATTGAGAATTGCCTAAAAGCGCGTTCGCGCATGGGTTGGCCTTGTGATCGCAAAGAATTATGCTCTTTAGTTGGAGAGTATGTGACATTTAAGAGCTTAAAAACTCCCTTTAAAAATAACATACCTGGGTATAATTGGTATGCAAATTTCATGAAACGACATCCAACTTTAGCTTTCAAGAAGCCAGAACATCTTCAGAAAATAAGAAAAGACGCTAGAGATCTATTCGTTGTATATGACTTTTACGAAAAACTACGTGAGTTGGTTCATAAGTGTGGGCTCATTGGCGACGATAAGGGATGTTTTATATTCAATGCTGATGAAAGTGGCTTCAACAGTGATCCTTCTAGAGTTCGGGCTATAGGTGAAAAGGGGGTACCATTGTCTAGGGTATCAGGAGGATCAGGGAGAGATTCTACTAGTCTTAGCATGATTGCTGCAGATGGATCATTTTTACCTCCATTTATTGTGTTTAAAGGAACTGCTGTCCAAGCCCGTTGGACTTCTGAAAATGTTTATGCTGGTACAATATATGGAATATCTAAAAATGGGTGGATGGAAGAGCCTCACTTTTATCAATGGTTCATAACCTTATTCATACCAAATGTTAACTGAGTGCGAAAAGAACGGGATGTGCCTGACCAGACTGCTTTTTTGTTATTCGACAACCACAGTAGCTAGATCAGATAGTGAACACAACAATTTATTACTTAGGTTCCCAACTCATCTAACAGATAGGATACAACCACTAGTTAAATGCATATTCGGACCTATCAAAATTAAATGGGACAGAATCTTGGTTGATCATAGAAAATCTGAAATAGGAAAGTCTTGTGGACGTTTGACCAGACGTAAGTTCTCAGAATTGTTAAAAAAAGTTTGGGAACAAGGCATGACCTTCCGAAAACATTTCAGGCTTCGAAACGACTGGAGTTTTTCCAGTTGATTCTCTGAAATTTTCCGAAAAGTATTTTGATCCAAATTTATTGCGAAAGTATAGAGAATACTAAAGAACTTCCAGTAACCAAGAACTAGGAAGCATTTCTGATGAATTACCTGGAGCCTCGTCAAGCCAACATGATCAACTAGGGCACATTTCTGAGGCACTATCTAGACCCTCGACGAGCCCAAATGACCAGATAAAATTAGATAAACCCATATTGACAAGTGACTCTAATTTACCTGAATCAGAACACCAGGATGCTACCATAAGAGTTAAGTCTGCAAAGAAAAATTCCAAAGACCTTTTTTCCAATGGTATCATTAATCTATTCCCCAAGAAATTGAATGAATGTGTTGAAAATTTTCCAAAAATATCGGGTGGTACTGAGAATAAAATAGTTATTCCACGATTAAAACAATCCAGATATGGAGAAGTTTTAACGACGGAAGAAGTAATGAACAAGCTCAAAGAAGCCGAAGAGAAAAAGAAAGTTAAGCAGACCAAAGGAAAAAGAGTAAATATCTATTCCAAGAAAATAACAGACGATAATTTTAAGCAGATGAAGATATGGAAAACAAAGAAGCAGAAACCAAAGAAATATACTGTTTCATCAGATAGTGAGGAAAGTGTTGCTAGCTTAATTTGACAAACGATGACTCTGATCACGACATGTGCCAATAGCTCATAATAATATACAGGGTGATTCAAAATTGAGTGCAAATATTTTAAGAGCGTATTTACCGGCCAAAAATAAGAAAATATTTTTATATAATCGTATGTTCTAACTTGCTTCGTCTTCTAGATAGAGGGTGTCAAAGTTTTTTAAAAGAAAATCGGTTTTTTAACAATTATTAATTAAAAAAAATTTAAATAGGACCAGGAACAGATTTTTATTTTTTTTTCTTGGAAACAAAGTTAGATACTAGTAAAGGTCACGAGGCAAGAAAGTTACATTATTGACCGCTTAATCTAAAAAAAACTTTTAATGTCAAAAAAGCAGTGCCGTACCATAATTGTACCTATAAGTATCAAGTTGGTAGCTCCCTGAGACGCCACTGGAATTCATAAATTTATTTTATACTCACCAAAGAAAGGCCCTTATGATGACAAATAAGCCTACAAAATTTTATTTAAATCAGCTGAAAGGTTTTTGAATAATTGAAAAAAAAAAAACCAATTTTTTTAAAAAAACTGTATCTAGAAAAAAAAGCAAGTTAGGACATATGATTATCTGAATTTTTTTTCTTATTTTTGGCTGCTAAATACGCCCTTAAAATCTTTGCACTCAATGTTAAATCATCCTGTATAACAAATAAATATTGTTCCACATAATTTTGCGAATATATTATAAATGTTTTAGAATAGAAATGGATCGGGGCTCTGAGATTTATCGAGGGTAAATTATTTTATTTTTCGTCGTTATTTTATCTTTTGCTTTCTCGTAAAATATCGAGGTTACAATTTAATATATTCCGGTGGAGGTAAGTGCCCTATTACCCCCCCTCCTTAATATCCGCGCCTGAGTCTACTCGATAATTTCAACTAAGAATTCAGAAAAATAATAAAATTGCTCTCTAGGTGATAAATATAAGAAAATAATTTTTACAAGTATTTTTTTTTCAAATCAACAAATTATGTATTGATAGATTTTTAAATTATCAATAATATTTTACTTATTGACTGGTCTACAATTATGATGCAAAATGCACTCTAGCACTTTATCGGAAATAAAAAAAATGTTTCAGTTTATTCATGTTAAGATGTATTTTATAATCACCATTAAACATACTAGCAACCAAGAATATGTAAATTATTTTATTGGTTCTATTCACCGCACTAAAATTTCTATCTTCACTGGCGTACATTTATCAACTGGATCTAAATCGATTTTCAAAAATCATTTATTGAACCATTGTCCGTGTAACATAAAAATATTTTATTGCAGATTGGAGTCGTATAATTTATGTATACAGGCTTTCAAGTGTGATTGGATATTGAAATGTTGTTAATAAAGATATTCACTAGACATTTTTAACAGAATTAACAGTATTCTGTCGTATAAATATATGTATTTGAATTTTCATTAAATAATTTCGCTTGTTCGGAACTGGTTTTGCGAACGTTCTTAGAATTTACAATAAAACGGATTGGAGAAAAAATATTTAAAATGTTTGAGTCAACGATGATTAATAGTGCTTCTATTAGTAATTTTAGGTTTACTGATCGTAAAATTCTCAATTGTTTCTAAAATAATTTCCCCTACGAAACCTAAATACCATAATAGTTTATTAATAGTGAATGGACAGTAAATATTAGTTCATTAAGACAATAAAGTACACATATGTACGTACGTACAGGGTGGCGCATCGAAAACGAAACAGAGACATTTATTTGCAGCTCAGATTTTTTTTAAAAAAACGTTCAGATCCGTCGACACACAATTAGCAAAAAATCACGTTATCACGTGCAGCCCCCTAGGCGGGGGTGACACCATCCCTAAAATCTTAAATGGAAAGAGAGGTCAAATGATTCATTATTTGAAAGGTCTTTCAATTCCTTCTATAATGATGTAATTCATGTACTTCTCAGTAGTTTTGGAGATTTATTGATTTAAAGCTTAAAGTAGACTTTAATACATCATCATTAGTAAAGTAGTTTAAAAATGAAGAATGAACTGACCCGTCAGCCAAGTAAATATTGACTCCATGACTCTCCATGCAGTAATAAAGTTTTTTTCTGAAAACGTTACTGCACTTTTGCAATATTTGAGGAGTAATTTGAAGGCACTCATTCACAATTCTTTGTCGCAAAGCTTCTAACGATGTTGGTTGAGTAGCATAGATTTTGCTTTTTAAGTGACCCCACAGAAAGAAATCCAAAGGTGTTAAATCTGGCGATCTTGGGTGCCATTCAATGACACATCTTCTACCAATGCATCGACCTGGAAACGTCTGATCTAAATATTGTCGAACATGTAATGCGTAATGTGGTGGGACATCATCCTATTGGAACCTATTCGCAATGTACCACCGATTATTCTGATTTTCAATTATGGCG